CTTGTGTGTATGTAAACTTGGTCTTAATTGGTGTGTTCTCCAAGGTATGTCTTTGTGTGAGTGTGTGTGTGTGTATGTTAACTTGGTCTTTAACTGGAGTATTGAATCCACTTACGTTTAATGTAATTATTTATATATTTGGGCTTTTAGCCACCATCTTACCACTTGTTATCTACTTGACCCATCGATTTTATAGTCCATTTTCTTTATTTGCCTTCATTTGCATCAATTTTTTACTACTTCATTATTTTCACTCATTAACTTGTCAATTATTTGGGGGGGGTTTTTTTTTTGTTGTTGTTGTTGTTTTTTTTACTATTTTTTTAGTGGTTACCCCAGAGAGCCCATGTACCCTTGATTATTACTATCTGAAAACAAAATAGTACCTCACCATTTTTTCAATACTGCTAGAGCCTTAGGACATTCTAACTCTATCTACTCTCCCCATCTTATGTGTTATTGCTGACATGTATCTTTATAAGACGTTATTTTTGCTTCATACAATAAACATTGATTTATATTTACCAACATATTTACTCTTACAGTAGCTCACTACCTACTGTATCTCTATAATTCCACCTCATATCAAAAATTGCCAGAGATTTTAGTGGCCTTTTCGAAGAACCAGCTTTTTTTTTTTTTAACCTTGTTAATTGTATTTTTTGTCATTACTTTCTGCAATTATCTCCTTTCCATAATCTTTTAGTTTATTCTGTTGTTACTTAAAAATTTTAAGTTGATAATTTAGCCCATTAATTTTTAAGCTTTTCCTCTTTTCTAACCCTCTAAGTACCATTTTCACAGCATCCCACAAGTTTTATTTATTTATTTATTTTCTTTTTTGAAGAAAAGGCACAACAAATTTTATTATTTAATGTGTTGGGAGAAGGCAAAGCCTGGGGGAATCACGAGAGTAATGTTCCAAATTCCAACGGGGACACAAAGCTCATATACCGATGTTCATAAGGGAGAGGGGGGAGAGGTACAAGCCCCAGAACAATGGCCTGAAACAAGGTTTCTCTAAAGTTCTGGGGAGAGATGTTGTAACAGGTGAAAGAAGGAAATCAGAAGTTAAAGTTCAGTAGAAACATCTTGCATGCAAAGCAAAATACTTCAGGTGGTCTCACAGATGCCCTCAGAAGGAACAGATAGCAGCCAAACAAGGGGCACCTCAGAGGAAGCCTGAAGTTTGCATTTACAGATGTAAATTTCTTTATACAGAGAAATAGCCTTTTAGCCAATCCGCAAGTTCTAATATGCAATATTTAGTTCTAAGTATTAGTAAATTTCCATTTTAATCTTTTCTTTCATGTGTGAATTATTTATAATGGCATTTTATAGTCTTCAAAAATAAATAAAATGTATTGTTGTTAGAGAACATCATCTATATAAATAAACCTTTGATATTTCTTGAGACTTACTTTATTACACTATACATTAGCAATTATTTTAAGTGTTTCATGTATGTTTGAGAAGACTATGTATTCTATAATTCCAAGGCATGAATCTTATTGCCCATAAATTATTAAACTGTGTTGTGTAAATGTGTATTTTCAGTTTTTTCATGTGCTTGATCTATCAACAACTGGGAGAGGTGCATTTAAATTGTTCACTGAAGTGAAAAATTTGTCAATTTCCCTATATAATTCTACTAATTTTTGTTATGTAGTCTGAGTCACAAAGAAATTTAGATATGTTATATATTCCTGATGGATTAAACTCAATTACGTAGAGGCCATATTTCTCATAATGCTTTTTGTACAAAACTTTTTTCTGTTTAATATTAAAATAACTCCCTTAACTTCCTTTTGGTCAGTATTTTCCTGGCAATATCCTTTCTGTCCTTTTGACTTTTCGCAATTCTTATATTTTTGTGTATCTCTTATGTATAGCCCATTGTTATAATTTACTTTTTTGCCCTTACACTCTTAGAATCTCTATCTTATAGAATAACTACTATTTAGTCTACTTATTTATATATTTGGGCTTTCTGTCATCTATTTTATATTTATATATTTTGTAGTTCTATTTGTTTTTTTTTTTCGGTTTTTTTTTTTTTTTTACTTTATTTGGACAGTCTATCGTCCCACTTTTTTTGTTGTTGTTTTAAATTATTTCCAATTTTTCATCACTATTTAGAAAATCATTTCCTTTCTTGTAATGCATGCCCTTGATATTGTACTTAATGTCAAAATTAACCAATATCATATAGGTTTTGTACTGAACAATTCATAAATGCTAAACAAATATTCTGTTCACCCCATCCCAACATACATGCTATTTCTATTTTGGTAATTTATTCAAAATGTGATTGTACTTCACTAGAGGACCTTTTGGAAAATCTTGCTGGAGAGAACCAAGGAAGCAGAGATTGTTTCCCTTTTTTTTTTTTTTTTTGCTGACCCAGTTTTCTGCTTTTGTGCTGTTTTTTTGGCTTAGGGTTAACTCATTGTTTGGGTGGATTATCCCAACTGCCCTACAGCTCTTTTGCCTTGCAATTGCAATAGACCTGCTTCAGAGTTTCAGTAAGTAAACCCAAACACCAAACAATTGACCACAGACAAAAGAGCCAAAGTAATAGTATTACAGGAAATTCTGAGAATCTTCAGTTTCAATTATTTCTGTACAAATGGTCTTCTGAAGCATTGCCATTTTCTGCACAGAACATTAATATTTATACTTTATCTAAATAGAGATTTGTCTTTTTTTTTCTCCATAACATTTTGCAGAGGGTTAGATCCTCTTGCTTTAGCAACCTACTACTATAGCTTTTAGATGTCTTCGCATAATCCTACAGTTTTATTCTTTAGCTCTCAGCCTCCTCTGAAGAATCCATCTATACAGATTACAAAATAATCTAATCTGTGCTGACTCCTTTTTAAGGATCCAAATTGCATTCCTCCTTTTACCTGAGACACTCCCACCCCCTCCCCATCCCCACCCCACCCACACACACGAACGGGAACTGCACATTATGGGATATCTTTACTTTTGCTGCCCTGACAACCACTTTGTTTCTTCTTGATACTAAAGCTAATTAATGAAGCTTGGTGTCTAATGAGAGCTCAGGACTTTTCCTTGCCTGCTCCTCAGGACTTCCCCCAAGGACAAATCAAGTTATGCCACTTCCAAGGAGATGTGCTCAAGTTTGAGGACATTATATTGCTTACTTTGCCACAATAAAGGTTATGAGCATATGGGTAGGACACCCAATTTTTAGCTCTTGCAGTCTTTCCCTTTTACTGGGTCAGTCAGCCCACATCACTAGAAATATAAGGAGCTGGAAATTATCACAGGCATATTTTCCTGAGTTGTGGCTGGAAGAAATAGGTCAGCTGAGGGAGTTCTAGAGGTAAAACAAACTACTTTTCAAATATAGGTGTGGAGGGCATGAGGTTAGCAATCCACACAGCATGCCATCAGTTACCGTTTCTCAGTCTGGCTTTAGTTCTACAAAACCATTGTGGGGCCCAATTGACTCTCATTTGGATTGCTGTCCTTCCAGGAGCGTGGTGGATCAAAAAAATTTTTTTTCAATCCACACAGCATGCCATCAGTTACCGTTTCTCAGTCTGGCTTTAGTTCTACAAAACCATCGTGGGGCCCAATTGACTCTCATTTGGATTGCTGTCCTTCCAGGAGCCTGGTGGATCAAAAAAATTTTTTTTAAAAATGTATTTATATATTTAACAAATATCTCATCTTCCTCATGCAGCAGGGTGATCTAGAGGCTGCTGCCCTGACCAGAGAGCACTGAGCAATGGTCTCTGCCCACTCCCTAGGGCTCCCCTGCTCACTTTCTGTGGCTGAGTGCATGGAAACGTTCTTCCATCTGACCCATCACTTGAATTGGGCTTTAGAAAAGGAGGCAACAAGTTTTCTAGCCAGCTTTGCTTCTAGTATTTTGATGGTAATCCAATTTACAAAATTCTCCACAGGGTTCATCTGAGTTCTAGATTCTACTCTGGAGTATGAGGACTAAGTCACGGAAAATGAAAATATATTTTGCCTTTATCTCTTGGCATTTATTTCTCTTGGGGCTTTGTGGTGGTGAAGAGGTTGACTATTCCTTGGTTACTCCTAAATGACCTGGTAAAATGCCCTTACAATTTTTAATTTTATACCTTCATTAACAGATCATTTCATCCTTTCCAACAACCTGGCAATTCCGTTAAGTAGCAGACTACTTTATAGCTTCCTCAAAAAAATATCTTTAAAACCCTGCCTTTTTCTCCCCTTAGAAACCTTCGTTTACTATGGTATTCAAGGATGCTAGGATTCTGTTTACAACATTCTAGAGGGGACCCCTTGCAAATGAGCACTCTCTGCTCCAGCCTCACCTCCCCATGCTTAGCTGGGCTACCTTTCTCATTCCGGGTTCCTTTACTGCCCTTGCTGCTGCAAACTGGTTGTGTCTATGTTCAGATTTGGGAGAAAGTACGTCCCTCCAGGAACCTCAGAAAATACAGCAATTTACAGAAGGCACCAGAGATTTAGCATTAGCATATAAGACTTTGCAGGGGAATCAGCAATAAAACTACTTGATGTCCCAACAAACTGGACCAGGCTCTCCCTTTCCCTTATATAGATTTCCTCTGACAGATTTTCACTTATTACAATAATTCAGAGAATAAAAAGTCAATGTGTTCTGTCCCCTCCCGTATTTAATCAACTTCAATAAATGGTAAGAATGAGCTAGGAGAAATTCTCTCTTAAGGCTGTGACATTTCATCTGAGACAAACTGTATTTCGACCTTAAATATACAGTTGAGATATGCCTGCATATTAGGGTAGTCTCTTCTGCAAACTCCAGGCTTGGATGATACCTCAGTGTGCATATATCCAACAGCTCTGCTAACCATTCCAGGCCTTCATTATCCTCATGGAAAATGACTGTATTTCCAGATCTACTTGTGGTATGAATGACTTTCAGAACTATCAGGACCCTGAAGCCCTGGAAAGGGAATGGGTAAAATGGAAAGTCCTAGAAAACAGGGAACTTGGCTGCAAGAGTTACTTTTATTTCACATGTGTATATTTCCAGGACAATGGCTGACTGGTACTAAAACCAAACCAGTCCATAAGAATATCATTATTGACCAAAATGAGAATTTCCTTGTTGGGCTGTTAGGGTTGGGGTCTTGTTAATCCACCCATATTCTTGTGGTGTACTGGCACATAATGGATTGTAAAACACAGCAGAAGCAACCAGGCACAGAAGACTGTCTCCCTTCTCATGCTTTGATCCCATACCCTGTGCTCCATTTATGGAGGACGTCTCCCCAGTCTTTGCCACTCCCACAATAAGAGCAGGTGAGGTTTGTAATTATTCAGCCTCATCTCCATGGAACCTTTATCAGGCAACAGAGATCCTTGGGCCATCATGGGGTACCACTATTTAGTTCTTAGTTACATGAGAATGAAATCACATAAGAAAAAGCAAACACAAATACATGAAAGGCATTTACTACTGGCAAATTCCTCGGGTCTTGGGTGCTGGGGTTCACAATTTTCCCTGATGTCAGAAGACTGAGGCCAGGATGATGACGATTGGGTGTCAGGAAAATAGTCGTGATGGTCTTGGGCAGCAGCAACAGCATTTTTCTTATTTGTCCATAGTTTGATCTTGAATCTTCTCCAGCTCTCTTCATGTAAATGAAGTGACCAAGTCAAGCATGATTCTCTAATTTTTATAGGGCCTTTGTAAGCTAACACCGTAGCAAATCCCCTCACACAGCCCATTCAAAGGGGGGTGAGGGGTGAGCTTGTGCATATGTGGAAATATAAGTGATTTCATTATGACTTAATTATGCTTTACTGACTCCCTCGGCACCCAAATACTACATCTCACTTGTAGTAGAAATGCTAGGGACAAAACCAAGAGACTGGTTGAATAGAAGGCAGGCTATGGGCATGAGTACTCCAACAGGAGAAATACAAACGAAACCCACAAAGAAAGAAGCTTCTGGCAAGGCCCTCTTTTCTAGCAGTGTCATGCACCTGGTATCATTTTCACAATGGGGAAAGCAGCAGCTGGACAAGGTCCACAGGAAGCAGCCTTGAGGTTTTTGCCATCAAACATTTCTACCCTTTCTCCCCAGTATCAAAGGAAGTGCCTGGTGAAGGAGTGAATCAGACAGTGAGGGTCTGTACAGGTATCCTGTGATGGTGTGGCAAAGCCAGCTGGACGCAAACCTCCTGTCTAATTCAGGGCTATGTGCTTTAAGATCTGAGCCCAGTAAGGACAGAACCCCTCAGGCTGGTCCCTTACTAGACCTAAGGGGCTGCCCTTGGCCACTGTATACTCAAGGCTGCTAAGCAGTCTTTCAGATACGTAACAGCCTATTTTATGGAAAATATACTAACCAAAACCTCATAAGTCTCCTAATGCTCCTGCTTTACACCCATGAGGTAGAGGCGGGAGCACACCAGTGATGAAGAAGCCTCAATTCAGGTGGGCAAAACATCTCCTCAAGGCATAAAAGAGGGCTGAGAGGTTCCACCCAGGCTTTTACTTAGTTATGGGAAGAGGTGATGTGAGATCTGGGCAGGCCAGGGAAACTCCCTAGAAAAGGTCTTCCCAGGCTGACAAGAGGGCTTCTCCTATCCCATCCTTGGGTGGGAGGTGAATGCAGATCTCCTCACTGGGGACCTAGCTAGGAGGTCTTTTCTGAGTGGGTCCTCTGATGTCTGATTAAGTGATAGCCTCTGCTGAAGCTTTTTCCACAGGTAGGGCATGTGAAGGGTTTCTCGCCAGTGTGTGTTCGTTGATGCCTGACAAGGTGGTCCCTCCGACTGAAGCTCTTTCCACATTCACTGCACCGGCAGGACCTCACCGAGGCATGTCCTCTCAGGTGCTTGGCAAATGCTGCGCTGTGGTTGAAGCACCGCCCGCACTCGCTGCAGAGATAAAGCTCCTCAGCTGCGTGTGTCTTCCGGTGTGCCACATACCGCCTGTGGTCACTGAAGTCCTTGCCACACTCTCCACACAAGTAAGGTTTGCCTCCAAGGTGGATTCTTTGGTGTGTTGTTAGCACAGATTTCTGGCTGAAGCTTTTGCCACAAATAGTACAGAAGAAGGGTTTTTCTCCTGTATGTGTCCTCTGATGCCTGACAAGGTCTGAAGTCCAGCGGAAGTGTTTTCCACAGTCGTCACAACCATAGGGCTTCTGAACAGGTGGAGTTCTCTTAGCCTGGGTCAGAGGGGAGGTCTCATCCAAATTCTTCCGGTTTAGGGGACATTTGTAAGGAGTGATCATCTTGTGAACCTTTTGGTGCCTGGCAAGATGGGAGCTCCGCGTGTAACTTTTCCCACACTCCATACATTTATAGGGTTTCTCTCCCGTGTGAGTTCTCAGGTGTCTAACAAGGTGGGAGTTACAAGTGAAGCTTTTTCCACATACAGTACAGTTGTGATGTCTCCCTAAGAGGGATCGAATAGGCGTGGTTTCCCGAAGACTCATGAAACTATTCACTTGAGAAATATTGGTACCAAATCTTCTTTCATTAAGTCTACCTGGGTTATCCTCAAAGACTATTTCCCAATCTGGAGTCTGGTGAATTTCCGGATCTCCCAAAATAGACCTGTGTATATCCTCCAAATTCAGATCTTCTTGCTCAAGATACTCTTCCTCATCCTCACTCCTATCTCCTGTAGGAAGGGTAAGAGGAGAAAAGGGGAAATTATAGTGGAAACAATCCTTCGACACAATGGGGGAACTTTTAAAAGGGTTTTGGGAGGGCAAGACCATATAGAGAGAAGCCTGTATTTCCTAACTGTAGAGGTTGGGAAAGAAGGAAATCACCAGTCAACTGAGTGTCTGTCATGTGCCAGGCACTTCCTTACATGTCACGCTATTGATGAGCCTTAGCATGGATGAGTATCATTATCCTCATTTTATAAATGTGGAGACTGCACATCAAGGGTTTAAGTGAACTGTGTAGAAAGTGATACAGCTGTAATTCTAAGTTTAGCTGTTTTATTATTCTTTCACCATTTTGCATCACATGGCCCTCAGACAAATGATGGGAAGGGTGAAGAAAATGACAGAGAAGAATCTGGCTTTCAGAAGGAGCGAGTTGTAATGGCTGACATATCAGGAGAACCAGAGAGAGGGGCCCTGGAGGGAGAGCAGCACTGACTGGAAGAGCTGCCGGCTGGGGGTGGGTAAGGCCCCCCTGTCATTCCTCACCTGTGTAGGTAAAACTCAGGATTTCTGGCTCTGAAGGCTCTTGAGGCTCTTGGATATCTGGGACCCAAGGCTCTTCCTCTCTAACCTGGGAGTTCTCATCTAGTCTGGGGATTGGAAATGCTGCTCAAGAGAGGGAAAACAGGACATCACAATTGGTTCGACAATTCCCTGTGTTAAGAGCAGATCTTTTGTTTGGTAGGTTGTAGAGCAGACACATAGCCAGGCCAGTTGATGAAATCTTTGGTCTCCTTTGCTTAAACACCTCTAACTAAGTAATACATATCTCATCCCTTTCTTGTGCTTTTCATCTGCAACTCAACAATTATACCACTGTAAACCTTACCCTCTGTTCCCATATTCAAGAAAGTAGATTATCTCCAACTCTTATCACTTGTTTCAAAACTCACCCACTTCTACACTAAAACTATGTATTATAACTTTATTTTCTTATCCGAGGTTTCCATTTACTTAATCATTTTCTCTTTCCTTTAACTTGGAAGGATACCATTTTCTTCTAAGTTAATCCCTCAATTTCATTGGTGGGGTAGGCATAAGAGAAGTGCATATGATCTAAGGTCCAACAACCCCTGAATTTCCAATAGGAAAAAGATCTCTGTGCTCACAACACTCTAGAAACACTTGAAATTCCTTACACAGAGAGACCACAATTCCACAGTCTTCTTCTAAGACATATTCTCCATAGAATTCTTTCTGTGTTGGATCTAGATCACTCCACTGGTCCTGGGAGAAACATACAGCCACATCCTTGAAAGTTACCAGTCCCTGAAACAACACAAGGATTCAATCAAAATGTAATGCTTCACGTAGTTTCATATCATGTTCCTGGATGAAGATCATACATATAGGCAGAATCCATTCAGAAGACAAAAGGAACTCCAATGCGCTGCTTGGCCTCCTTCTCAGGGAAGCTGTGTGTCCCCCTGTCACCACTTCCCGACTTTCTACAAATACCCAGAGGATTATGATGGGGTTATATCCAGATAAACCCATTGTAAGTTGAAAATATCATTAGTGGAAAATGTGCTTTGGACATACAATATCTCCAACTTACACTGGGTTTATTGGGATGTCATCCCATTGTTAAGTCGAGGAACATACTTTATACTGCATGTGTATGGCTTTTGCACATCACAAAAGTTGAAAAATTGTAAATCAAACCATCCTAAGTTGGTGTCCATCTGCACTTCTGCACTGGCCCTGTCCCCTCCAATACCACTGCTTTCCCTCAGGACCAGTCTAAGTTCTTCTTCTTTTTGGGGTATTGCTTAAAGTCAAGAATGGTCTCATTCAACCTATTTGATGCTTTAATGCTACCTATATTTCTGTAAAAATTCATCTTTTCTCGGAAGCTTTCCCTATCCAACCCTATCTAATCCCCTTATCATTTACACAGCCTATAGTATAACAGAACCTTTTTACTCAACTAGACTACAATCGAAAACCATGGAAAAATTCTATTCATTTTTTGCAGCCACATAGCTAGTTACTGGGCTCTGCGTGTGGTGAATGCTTCATAAATGTCCTGGCAGTACAGTGACTCATTCTTACAAATGACCTCAAATTTATTCCTAAAAAACAAAAAACCAAAAATCCCACATTTAACAACTTCAAAGTTGTACTGAAGTGTTACAAAATAATCCCATTTTGTTTTTCAAACTCCTGGTCCATGACAAATAAAGAGGCTTTGGAGCCTGCAGATCCAAGGGAGATTGACATTATAATTTATCCATTATCTCCTCTCCTTCCAGGCACCTGCATAACCAAGAACTTAAAAATGGCAAAAGGAGAGCATCAATGTGCACCGTGTCCAATCTGTTCTGCACATTGCTAACACCTCATGGTTCTTCAAACACGTTCTCTGTGGTCTGGAGGGAACAGGGGCGCACCTGTGACAGAGCAGCGAGAAGGGCAACCATCTCAGAGCCTCCAGAGCTCCTCTCTGCAGGAAGGTCTGGGTCCTGAGGCGCTGGAGTCTCTAAGAAGAAAGAAGGCAGAGATCAGCACAGGAAAGGCACCTTGACAACCAGGAAAAGCCAAGCGTCCCCCACTGTCTTGGGTAGGATGGTGGCCCCGACCTCCCAATTACGGGAATCAAGAAACTGGCCTAGCAGCAGTTCGAGTCATTCCAACCCCACCACCTAGAACACCACCACGATGCCAAGAGAACAAGAATATTGCTAATTTAAGCTTGGCCCCATCTGTGGGGGACTCCAGCTGATACTGTCTCCTCTCAACATCCTGGATTCTGGGATTTCCTCCCTTTATGGTGCACCCGCTCCTTCCTCCCGCACCCGCCACATTCCCTGCTTCGGGCTAGGGCTTCCCACCGCTCTCCTGCAGGGGTGGCAGCTCCTCTTCAGGACATGGGCTCTGGTCTTCTGGTGCCCCCAGATCTGGGCTTTGTGTGCTTTCCTCCTGGGACTGCTCGGGGGTCGAGGCCTGTGCAGCACCCTGTGGCTCATGAGGTGACTCGAGCTCTGCTCCTAAGTGCACTGTCTCCTCTGACAGGACTTCCTGGCCGTGAACGTGGACAGTCACCTGGGAATGATTCCAACTGCCAGTCACCACGGAGTCAGGAGGAAGTTCCTGGTTGTCATCAGGGCTTATTTTCAGAGAAGCTGCCTAGAGAAAAACTCCCAGAGGAACCCATGTGAGGAGGGAACTCCAGTTTCCCCGGGGCATGCAGAGGAGCTGACAAAGCAGGGCACACTCAGGTTCTGACCACTTTCTCACTTCCCATAACCCTTGCCTCATCACCCAGGGCTCTGAGGTACCCATGCTCACCAGGACAAGGCAGGGGACACGCAGGTACTAACCACTTTCTACTTCCCTCAACCCCTGCCCCGTCACCCAGGGCTCTAAGGTACCCATCCTGCCCACCACCTCCTATCCTGCCTGCAGCTCTCCTTGCAGTCTGCTTTCCTCGCTTACCATCCTGGAAGGGGGATCTGTGACTGAGGGTCTATGAGAATTTTTGAGAAAAACACAAAACTCTCCTTTTTAGGAATGCAAAGTTCAACATTTAAAGAAGGGAAACCAAAGGCAGGACCCCCAGATGGCAGAGGTCCTTCAGATGGTCCCTAGACAGGTGTTTCAAAAACCAGAAAGTCACACTCATCCATACACACCCCTGACCCATGGGGGCTCATGGATCTAGGAGCAACCCAAAGGCAGAGCTGATTAAATTTCAAGGATAATTCATGGGGGTCCTCTGAGGCCTCCCCTAAATTCAACCTTCCACCAAATAGTCCCCCTCCACATCACACAGATCAGGACTCCCCCTCCTCACCCACCGCCTTGGTCTCCTGGGTTGTTTCTGCAAACCCTCCACCAGCGTCACCGCCTCCTCGCCGCTCTCTGGTCGTTGGCCGCGCACCCAGCTCTGCAGTTCTCCAGGCAGGACAGTAAGGAATTGTTCCAGCACAAGCAGCTCTAGGATCTGCTCCTTTGTCCGCCTCTCTGGCCTCAGCCACTGATGACACAGTTCTCGAAGTCTGATGAGAGCTTCTCGAGGGCTTGCTGCTTCCTGGTAGCGGAAGCGCCGGAAGTTCTGGTGAGAGGTCTCCAGCACAGGGTCGTCCCTCTGTGTGACAGACTCTGGCCTACAGGTGAAGTCATCTTCCAGTTTTACCATCAGAATTCCCTCTTCTTCCCAAAGATCCTGGTCCTCTGGCTCCATGGCTGTAGCCATTTCCTGGCTCTGGGAGGGCCTCACACCATCTAGGGCTCGCGCTGGCATTACCCCTGTCTCAGCCTGGACACCTCCAGTTGTCTCTCCCAAGGGACCTAGGGTAGAGAAGACAAACAATAGCATAAGCATGAAATTACACATAAGGAGAACAGTTCTGAGGCCAATCATTATCCTCTACACACTTCTTCAAATGATCAAATCCCCTCTCCCCATTTCTACAACCACATGTTGTAAACAGATCTGGTTGGGAGGGACTCATCCACAACTGAATGTTTGCTCCTCCACCCTTTCCTAGGTGAGACTGCATTTTCCTCTTCACGAATATTACCAATTCCGCCTCTAAGTCTGGTTTCCTTCCTACAGACTGCTTTAGTTTGGGCCCTCTTCATCTCTTGCTTGGACTGCCATGACTTCTGTACTGGGATCCCTGCAGTACTTGAATGTTAGGAGAAGAAACTCTCAGTCACTTGCTAACAGATGTGGTGCTGACCACAGTGTGTTACACACACATGTACTTACAGGTGTCTTAGCACCTACAGTCTGAGAAGAGACACATCAACAGGACTGACATAGATAGGGAAGGCTTTATGGAGGTACATTCTGAACTGATTCATGCTCAGTATTAATTTTTGTAAAGTGGAGACTTAGAGACTTGAGGGGAGGACTGTATGAGGAAAACGGCAAGGAAAGCCACTTACACAGTGGTTGGCACACAGGCACCCCAAAAGCAACGTCTCTCTCAAGACATCTTTAATTGGATGACCCACAGACCCTCGAACTCAAGTGCACAAAATTCAATTCATTATCCTTACTTCCAAACCCACCCACCTCTCTTCCTGGAATCCTGTCTTGGCTGAGATCATCACTTGTTAAGTAGACATTCACCTCTGTAAACCTGGAGTTAACTTTGATTTTTCCCCACTGCTTATAGCTCATTAAGCCAATTCTACTCCTTAATCCTCTAAAACCATTTCCTCCTCTTCCTTTCTAGGGACCGCTTTATTTGGGGCCCTCATCATCTCTTGTTTGGATGACCACATTAACTTCCTAAGGGGGATCCCTACAGTACTCGACTACAAGCAAGGTGCAGCAGAATTACCTGTGAAGCTTTTGCAAAACACAGTAACATATATCCTTCGTTTGGACATTCTGATTCAGTCCGTGTAGGCAACTGTATCTGTAGAAATGCTCCATGCAGTTCTAATGTGTATCCATGGTTGAGAAACACCCAGGGAGGTGGTGCATGTAAAGTTAAGAGTGAGAGTCCTGGAGTCAGACTACCTGGGTTTGGATCCTGGCTCTATCGTTTACTGGGTACAAGACCATGGTGGGACCACAGACAAGTTCTTATTCTCCTCATGCCTGATTCCTTGTCTACAGAACGGATAATAATGGCATCCATCTAACTAGGTTACCATGAGGATTAAATGTATTACTATCTTTGAAGTACTTAGAAAAGGGATCCAATGTTAACTATTATCTTTCTAAACTATAGTTCCAACTACATTACTCAATATTTAAAAACAACTTCTTAATGTTAGTAAGTTCCAAAACCCTGGGCATGGTACACAATGCTCTACATGATCAGCCCCCAATCTATTTTTTCATGCCTCATATCCTACCCTTTTCCTGGTATGGCCTAGCTAGAATGAAGGAAGTCATTGCTGACCCCCTACAGCATGGTGCCTTCTCAGGCCTCCATGCCTGAGGGCTGTTCCTTCTGCATGGAATACTTTCCTCCCCTCACTCCCCCCAATCAGTGCTGCATGGTGTGTTCCTATTTCTTATGAACAGGCCCTCTCTTCTTCATTCTCATGATTCATAGTTTAGGTCCTTATCAGTTCTCATCTGGATCACTACAACAGTCTCCAAATGTGAGCTACCTGCTCCAGATTTGTTACCCTTGAGTTACCATTCACAGTATTTCCACAGTGAGTTCTCTTGGCAAATCTTGTCATGTCCCTTCCCTATTAAATATTCTTCAATCACTCCTCCCTGTCTTGTAAGTGAACTGCAAACTTTTAAGTATTATGTTAAGTTGACCTTCACCTAGTTACTCCGTGTCCTCCTCTCCAATCCTTTGTCACACATGCACACACGCATGTACATGCAAAGCACACAACAGTCCCATGCTCTTTAGGCTTTTGGCCACGCTGCTCCTTTTAACTCTTTAAACTTTGGTTATCTTTCAAGACCCAGCTCAGGCATCATGCCTTCTGGGAAGCTCTCTTCGATCCCATTTCTCCTACCCTTAGACGTGGTTAGAAATCACCTAAGTGCTTCCATAGCTACTGGGTCCATCTCTATCACAGTATCTGTCACATTACACAGCCATTGTTTCTTTCCTGTGAAACTACTTGAAGTCAGGGTCTGTGTTTTTCATCAATCTCCAATACTTATAATAAAGTGCACAATAAATGTCTTTAGAATGAATTAATTTCCACTTTGAAGTTTTCTTCCTACTTTAACAGACAGAACCATCTTTTCCTCCATTATGCTTCTAATCTCTTTTTTATACGCCAAGTCCTGTTAATTCTACCTTCTAAAAACTGTCTTTCAAATTCATCCGCCTCTTCAATTCCACTGCCATTCCCCTGGGCACTTACATGTTGAACGAATGACTTAGTTCAAGTTTCGCAACTGTCTTCCTCGTTTTGTCCCGCTCCAGCCCAGTGTCCACATACAGCCCGAGGTAGCCTGCATTTCTGTCTTTTTACGCTGTGCGACAATTGCCTCAGGCCCACCTTCAAGGTTCTCAGTCCACTTTCAACAGCTGTGTTTCATCTGTTGTTGCTCAGCAAATAAGTTTATGGTCAATGACCACGTTATTCATTTTTATTCTTTCTCAAATATCTTTGTTCATGCTCTTATTTCATTTTTTTCATTACTATTAATCGTTTTCAACGTATTTTCCTAGTCTCCTTTGGTTAGTTCCATATTTCCCAGATCTCCATGTGCTAATTTTCTGATGTGGTCTCTATCACATGGTGGCATTTCTCTGGTAGTGTGTAATTTTAAATTTTATGCCTATCTTCAGTGAGGTTGTTTTTTCTTTGGGAGTCATGAGAGCCCTATGTTGTAAAAGTGAGCCCTTTGAATAGAATATCATTTGCTTCTACCTAAGTGCTAATGGTTTCAGTGAACTTGGATCAGTTTTTATGTTAATTTCTCAGGTTGTTTCTAAATTATGTTTATAGTGCATTATTGGACCTATGACTTCAAGTGATTTTTGTCCTATGCAAGGCTACAAAGAGCCTCTTCCTTGCATTTTTCCTGGATCATAGGCAGATTTTTATGAAAGGGTAGCTCTTCAAGGGTCCAGGTTTGCAGGCTGCTCAATTCCATAATCTCCTCACCCCCACCCCCACATCACTCCCTAAGTCATATCTCCTTGTTGGAGCCCAGGTATTAGAATCCCAAACCCTAGAAACCTTACTTTGGTTTGAAACCTCCTTGGGCCAAAGTAAAGACAGTTTTTACTTACTCCTCTAGTTTTTATTTCTCTCCATTTCTGGAAACTATACATTTACCATTAGTTTTAGAGAGAGAGACAGGGAGAGATGGCATGGGCAGGTAAGTGCAGACATTTAATATTGGGCGGAAGGCCCATCCACATTAACTCCACATTACTGCAGAAAGGTCTGAGTGGTGGTTTCTAACATATGAGATCTGCTGATGGCTTCACATTGTTATTAGGATAAAATTCAAACTCCTTAAAACTTAATGCTCAAGATCCTTCAAGACCTGGTCCCTGCCTACTTCTTTTCTCCCATGACTGCCACCCTCAAATTACTGTTCTATCTCCCTCTTCTCTGCCCTCCCTGGGCTTTCCCAATGCTGTTGGCTCTGTCCGAAACCCCCTTTTCCACCCCCTTCACTTGGTTAGCTCGACTCATCCTTTAGATCTCAAGTCTTCCCAAGACACCTTCCCTGATCCTCCCAGATTATGCTTCCATAGGGACTTGTACCACCCTGTACATATCACGGCATGGACATATATCTATTTTTTGTGTCATAAAAATCGTTCATCTTGCTGTTGAACTCATGGGATTTTCAACTCTGAGGGGAGGAACATGCTATGCCCAGCTGGAAGCCTGGCACAAGACACTCACTTTATATTTGATGAATGCAGAGAACACTTTTTGTGTCATAAAAATCGTTCATCTTGCTGTTGAACTCATGGGATTTTCAACTCTGAGGGCAGGAACATGCTATGCCCAGCTGGAAGCCTGGCACAAGACACTCACTTTATATTTGATGAATGCAGAGAACACTTTAACACTGAGTTTTTTTAAGTCTGTCCCTGGAAGATATCTAACATGTTGTATTAATCCTTATTCATTTGTCCAGCAAAACATGTATTGAATAAATGAGGAAAAAACATTGTTTGGATTGTGAGTAAAACAGAATACATCACCAACTGATGAAACCATAACTCATCACAAGAATTCTTCAGGTTGCCCTGGGGATAATAATCCAAATACAAGATTTTTTTGAAAAAAATTACTTTCCTTTCAGGATGTGAATCAACTTTAATAAGCACAAAACCAGACTTCAAGTAATTTAATGCAGTGACAATACTGATTATTTACTTGAGAAAGCTTCTCAATCCCCACCCCCCCAATCCCAACCTTGTAAGGCAGGGTGAGAAGACAGGATTGATACATAGTGTCTTTTGGCTTAATAAAAGTATCTCTATTATATTAAATAAGTCCAAGAACCAATATCCAGTGAAGTAGACTAGGAGCCCTGATTGTTTTCACGCAGCACTAGGTACAAGGGATTCTATACCATTGTATGTAACAGAATGGTTCCTGCTCTCAGAGGGCTTTGCTCTCCAAAGAAAAAGAACACAACAGTGCCAAGTAAAACCTGCCATGTTAAAATGCACTTCAGAAATCACAAGTTGAGATTTCTGTTGCTTGTTTTGCATTTACTTTGGCGGCCTGGAATATAAGATGAAGGAAATCAGATCAGCAACAGTGGTAATGAAGGGAGGGAGAGGATGACTTGGTGGGGTGAGAGATGAGAAGAAAAAGGAGACATGAGAGTGCTGTTCAGAGCATCAGACTG